GAATAATAGCCATGCTTTATAGCTAGAAGCCAGTTGAGATCGCCATCACCCAGCCAGGCAGCCAGGATCCCCACTAGAGAGGACTCCAGACAGGACTAATAAGGCTCCATCTGCCTTGCAAATGGAACCAAGCTAGTAGAAAGTCTGTACTGGAAGCCACAGTTCCACAGCTAACTGGTACTGCCTACCCCAGAGCCAGGCTTCTGGGCACGTGGAGTGGGCTTTTCCTGTCCCCTCACACTGTCTGTTGCCTCCCGTTCCTTCTACTATCGTTCATGTTGCCTCTTATCTTGGCCTGACCCTGGCAGGGCAATTGTCAATCCACTCATTGTGCTAAAGGGTACTGGGCAGGCAGGGAGGTGTATGCTCTGGAGTTTTGAAACAAAGGCTTCTAAACAGGCTCGGGAGGAGAAAAACACCAGCACTGGGGCAGAAGGTGAGGGGTGGACAGGGGTGAGGATTGGGGGTGCTTCCTGTAGTCTGTGGGAATAGCCAACCTCGGAAGCCAAGTGTGGGGGTAGGGGCGAGGGGAGTCAGGACAAGGGGCTCTCAGGCCAGCCGTAGAGGTCTCTCCAAGACCACGTGACTGGTACCAGAGCAGCCTCACAGCATGGCCCAGCATCTCCTCCCCTCCCCCTCCCCCAGTGACCTGTGGAGAATCAGTCCCAGGATGTCTTCTCACTCAGGGAATCACATGATGAGACCCCATGGGAGTCACTCTTAGGGATGTAGAAGGTGCAGAGAACAGAAGGAGGGGTCAGGACAAGGCACGTAGGTCAGAGTGGCCCGTTCAGACCTCGGTGTATGGTGTAGACTAGTCTGCTAAAAGTCCAATGGCTTTGTTTCTCTGTGCTTGGGAAGAAAGACTCTGAAGCTGGCCACCCTGCCCATTAGGCTTCCCTGTGATGGTCAAGGGCAGAGTGGCCCTAGGCAGATGCCACCCCTGAGCCTTGTTTTCCCTGACGGCATGAACACATTAACTGCTATGAGCCCCCTCCTCCAGTTATTGCTTTAGGGTTTAAGCCTGGAAGACACATAGTTGCCTAGGCTGAGATCACCTTCCACAGAGGAATGAAGTCTGGAACTCTCTTCTACCTGCCCTGAAAGGGAAATTCTCCAGGAGAGGGCGGAGGGTCAGGATATAAAGCAGTGTTTGAAGAATGTCCAGGAGAAGCCAAGTACCCTGACTCCAGAAAAGGTCTCTCCAAGGACCCTTCAGGTGTGTCTTTGGCTGACAGGCTAGGATTATCTTTTGTTTCCATTTCATAGATGAGGAAGCACCTCCACCATTTCTCCAGACCTCAGGGAAGCTCCTCCCACTTCCCCCAATCCTAATCCCACAAAGTGACATCAGGGTCCCTTCCTGGCTCCCAGCTTCAGGCTCTGAGCTTCTCGAGATGAGGGTAGAAACCCTTCTATCTCTCCAGTCCGCTGCTCCAGCCTGGGCCCAACACATGCTCCTGGGATAAGAGTAAGGGACTAGGAAATGATACAAATCTCTTGGGCCTCAGAGGTCCTCCCTGGCCTGGGGACCAAACTGAGCTAAATACCACACTTCCCAATCCTCAGCTTGGAGGTCCCCAGTAGGACTGGCGATTTTCCAGGGGCAGGGAGTGGAAAGCTACCCGAGTCAGCGTCTCTATCATCTGTGTCTTTGGCAGCTACCTTCCCTAGGTCCCCACACCCCCTCTTCAGCTGGGGTTCATGTTTAACCTAGAAAGGGCCTGAAAGAAATGTGTCTCAGGCCCCAGCACAAGGCTGCCTTTGTTTGGAGGTCAGATTCCAGCAATTCGCTTGGCAGCACTGCTCCCTGGGAGCCTGGGGACTGGAGTGTAGGACCCTCAAACCTCTTGGGAACTCAAGAAGACCAAGGAGCCTCTGAGGGGCCTACGCTGAACCCTGACTCCAGAAGGCGAGAATCCAGGAGCTCTGTAGAGCTGAATGTGGCTGGAGGCTGGGGCCGGCCTGACTCTTGTGTGCAAGGGTCTAGGGCCCAAAAAGACAGAATGGGCTGTTAGAATTTCTGTTCTACATCTAGTCAGCTGTTTGGCTCAGATAAAAATCACTTCTGATTGCAGAGACCTACATCATTCATCCCAGCACTCAGGAGGCTGAGGCAGGTGGACACCAGATTCAAAGACTGCTGGGCTACAGAGTGAGATGCAAGAGAGACAGACAGACACACACACTGAGAGAAACAGAGAAAAGCCTGTTTGAAGATCACTAAACCTCTCCACAAAGTTCCTCTTCTCCACTGGAAGGGATTCCTGCACCTTTCCCCTCTGTTGCTAGAAAGAAGAAAAAGTGCTTTACCAGGAGCTTAGCCACAGGGCTGTCCAACGAGGGGCAGCTGCATGCATGCGCTGCGCAAGAGGATTATGGGTCTTTCTATCTTGTCTGAATCCCACAAAGGCCCCTCCCAGGCCTTTGGAATGTACCACTGTCTGCTTTCAGTCTGACCTACGTGCCTTATCCTGATCCCTCCTCATGTTCTCTGCACCTTCTATAGCCCTAAGAGTGCCCCCTTGGGGTCTCTCTCTCTTACACATATAGGCACGTATGCGCACACACACGCGCGCGCGCGCGCACACACACACACACACACACACACACACGCACAGCTTCCAGCCTGACGGAGTAAGGGTTTGAACACAGCAAAATGTCCTTCACATCTAGGATGCCCACACTAACCACAGCCCTTCAGCAGCAGGTTTGGCTTCTTCTGTCCATGTTGACCTCAAGAGTCTGTCTGCAGAGAGGCTGGAACTCCGTGGAGGGTAGGAATGGAGCTCACCTACTTCAGCCTCCCTGCAGCCCAGAACCCAAGGCGGAGAGTGTAGCCAGGGCTGACTGGCCTGTCCCTGACAGACCCCCACAGCCCTGGTAAACCAGTTGTGGTGGCTTTGTCCCTTCCTGGAACCCCACCGTACATTAACTCCGGTGCCCTCTCCTTATCCTGCCTGTCCCCAGATACTCAGATGGCACTGCAGACAGGACCTTCCCTGGGATTCCTTGCCCAGCTTGTTCAGACCTGCTTTGATCTGTGCCTGCAGCTGCAGGCCTAAGCATGGCTGTGATTCCAGTTGAGCAACTGAGGCCCACAGGCTAGCATCGCTTGTGCCTCCCAGGGAAGCCAGATGCCCTTCGGAGCTCTCCCTCATCAGCTCCCTTTCTTCCTCTTTCAACTGTAGGGATGCCAGTGCTGCCACCTCCTTCCGGGACCGCTGAGCCTTAGGGCTCCCCTGGCCTAAGCTACTGGCTCTGGCGCCTGCCCTTCAAGCGCCTCAGGAAGCAACTGCACAAGAAAGCTGGGTTCATACAGGGAGAGGGCACCGGATGGAGGACAACAGGCTAGTGAGGTGCCTGGGCTCCCAGGAGTGTGCCAGTAAAAGCTGCCTGGGCCTCATGCTGGCTCTGCTTTTTGCCATTCTCTGAAATCAGGGCATGGTCTGGCTCCTTCTCCTTTACCTCTGGCAAGGGGGTATGTTAGAGGCAGGGAAATCCCTGTAAGACACTCTAGCCCTCGGGCCAGACTCTTGCCAAGGCCACCAGACACAGCTTGGCTGTAAGCCCACGTAGTGAAGGGGCTGGAGAATGAAGTGCCCAGAGACCTTGTCCAGGGCCTGTCTGCATTACACTTCTTTGATTGTGTTTTGGCTATTTTACTTTATATTTATTTGGAGACATGGCTGGCTGAAAATTTGCTATGTATCCCTGGGTAGCATTAAACATGGAACAATTATCCTGCCTCAGACTTCTAAGGGTTGAGACTACAGGTATGTGCTATTATGCCTAAAATAATTATGTCTTTATATCTCAGTTTCCCTGATGAAACTGGCCATAGTTACCTCCCTCTAGCCTATGACAATACTGTGACACAGCAGAGAAACCTGGGCCTTGTCTTTCAGCCTCTCTGAAAATCCAGCAAAATCCAGTCAGCAGATATACAAGGCAAAATTATTTGGGACAGAGGCCATGGGCCTCTTACCCTCTGTTTGGTTCATTGTTCTAACACCACTCTGGTTCAGAGACTTAGAAATGGCTCCTTCTTCTCTGCCTTGTCTCACTTCACACACTGACGCGCACACTCCCAGAATTGTAGATGCTTCAACGTTGAGGAAAAGAGATGAACCCAAATGGGTTCCCATACGAGAAAACGTGCAGCCACTTGAAATACAGACCCTTGACGGCAACTTGTCCTCAAGGCCAACCAGCTCCCACTTAGAGGCCCACCGAGTGGGGTGACCGCTGGGCCGTCTGTCTGTCTGCTCTAGGAGGAGCCTACAGCCAGCAAAATCTCTGCTGGAAAGACCAGCAACACAAAGCTCAACCCAGGCCAGGGACAGCTGGGTCCCAAGGACAGCACAGATAGTGGGAAGGTGGGAGCCATTGAGCTGGCTACCTATTGTTTCATTGTTTTTTTTTTTTTTAATTTTGAAATCTGTTTTTGTTACAATATTGTCCCATACCCAATAAACACGAACAAATGCTGCAACGATATAATATTATCATCCAGATAAATTTTCAGGGTACATGATAACTGCCTTCCTTGAGGCACATTTATCTGAGGGGAAGGTCACTGTGAGAGCATGTGACGATCTAGCTTCCAAAATAAACCATGCTAGCTTGCACACGTCTGCCTGCCCCATGCCCCAGCTTAACTAGGCCCAAACTCCCAAGGTGTTGCTTATCTGGCTGGGCCCCTTCCCATCCTTCAGTCTTTAAGCAGCCTAAGCCAGCATGCCCTGCCTGCTAGGGTCTTCCCATTGTTGGCCTCCTTCCCAACCTTACCGAGGAAGGAACCAGCCCCCTGTGACCTCCCACCAGGCCCGGCTCTGATGGCAGCTGTGCCAGCCACGAATGAAGGGTTAGATGGGGTCCCTGGGAGGTGGACATAGCAAGATTTCCATGCACCCTTCCCTTCAGCCAGCATTCTTCTCTGTGGATCCCAGCAGCCCCCCCCAACTCCCTCCACAAACACTCCACGCGTGCAAACTCACCTGCTGCATCCAACGAGGCAGCCCTGGTCTTCTCTGGAGCGGAGAACTCAAGACCATGGCTTGGGGACTCTTTGGGGAGTGTCCGACCATCAGTTAAGGAGCTGGTGGGGGGAGATGGGGAGCACTGGTTAGAGCAAGCTGTGTTCTATCACACTTCCTCCAGCACCAACTGCCCACCCCCGTAGAAGATGAGATCAAATCCTGCTGCGCTGTCATTTGCTGTGTGTCCCTGTGCGAGTTTATGTCTCCTTCTGAGCCTCAGTGTCCTCACTCAGGCAAGAAAAGGTTTGGGCTCTGGCTTTGAGAGATTCTGAGCCTCCATTTTAAGAGAGTATCGGCTTTAAGGGTTGGGAGAAGCCCCCACCCTGTCGTTGTTCACACCTTCTAGTTCCGGAGAGGCTCAGGGTGGACATTCCTAGAACTCTTGGAGGCGTCCTCCTCCATGGTGTCTGCCTGCAATGCTGACTGATTGCCCCACGCAGAAGAAATGGGCCAGGAAAACCCGGGGCTCTGCTTGTCCTAGCTCCGTCTAGTCTCCCAGGCAGGGTGGCTCTGAGTAAGCGGATTCCTGTCATCATCTTGGCCTCCCTGTCCCTCAGCCCCTCAGCCCCAGTCCTCCCCAGGGTTTACCTGGCCACACATCACCTTCCTGGGTATTTCAATCCACACCCTCAGGACTACACAGGGCTAAAAGGTTGTACAACACCAGGGACACAGCACCGTCATAGCCATGTAAATAGAACCTACTGGAAGTGGGCTGTGGACAACCTGTATTGCTGGTCATACATGCCCTGAGGGCATGACCCTGGCTCCAGGGAGTCCCATCTGTTTGTCAGGGTGGGGTTAGCCCCATCCCTGCCCAGTTCCCAGGAAGCCAGGCCAATTACCTGCTTTGTACATTCGGCCTTATTCCTTGCTGGTACTGCAGGCTCAAACTAAGTTTTCGAGCACACCCAGGCCCACCTGGCAGCAGTCTGCTTAAGAACCTGAGATACGTTTTAAAGCAAAAGACATAGGAAGTTACGAAGGGAGAGGGATGGGATGGGCAAGAAGGAGACGACTGAAATGGTCCTTTCTAGGTGCACACTGTGAGTAAGGCCTGGACCACAGGGCTGGAGCATCCCTTCTGTTGCTAGGACAACCTGGCACAGGAGGGGAGGACTGAGTTGGCTCCTTCTTGTGCACACCTGCTCCAGAGAGGATGGAAAGGATGACAAAGCCAAGGTTTCCGAATACTCTGGATCTCCGGACTTGGGGGTATCTGTCACACCACTGTTCTCTAGAGTTGCTGAGTGGAAGCTGCTCCACTTGGGGACAAACAAATCCATGAGTGAGCTGGATCCTCAAGAGATGGGGCCTGGCCAACAGGGCCAAGCCCTGTCCATCTTTAAAGTCACAGACTGGAGAGCCACAAAATTGTAATCTCCCTCCATCTTAACAGGCAGCACGAAACAGGTCCACCATTAAAGGCATTTCCACTCCCAATTAAATTTGGGCAAACTGGTTCTGGCTTTCACAAAGCTAAACAAAGGAAATGAAAAGACAGCCACCTGCTGCTTATCCTGATGAGAGCCTTCTGGTTACAGAGGGGAGGCACCTCTTCCTGGGTCTGGTACCCAACGAAGGAAAACTCTCCAGCTAACCAGCCTACTCTCCCTCCCTTCAGGTGGACCCTGTTCTTCCTCCAGGACTTGGTGGAAGGGGACACCTCACTTACCCTTGCAGCTGGCCCACAGAGGGTGATATTCAACCCTCCTGTCCTGGGCTTAAAGAATTTGGGGTACCTGGGTTAAGAAAAAAAGTCAAAAAGGAATTTTCCAGACAAGTTGAGCTGATTTCCCCTAGCGAGGGCCCTGGAAACTGAGTCCCTTCAAAAGGCTATCACCCGAGTTAGTGCTTGAGAAATCCCTCCTGCTCATGCAGGGTTCTAACTATGGCAGAAGTGGCTTCAGCTGGATAACAAGATCCACCCCCAGGAAAGACTTCAGCTCTACCTCCTACAGCTTGTCTCCTTTGTCATTGCTGGAGGAAGTTCAGGTTTTGTTTGTGTGTTTTTAACTCTTTCCTGCCTCAGTTTTTGCCACTGTCAATGTTGACTTCTAGCAAGGCAGCATTTTTTTTTTTTAAATAGCAGAATAGGAAACAAGAGGGCTCCAACTATAGGTAAAGCCAGGAGAGAGAGCCCCGAATGGAACGGCTCACATTTTCCTCAAAGCCCTACTCTTCAGCTCTCCAAAAGAGTCCTGGGGTGGCAGAACACTCACCAAACATGTGTGAGGTCCCATGCTCAACCCCCAGCACTAAAGGGAAAACAATGGGGGCTTTCCTTTAGGCTCTCTGTTCTTCCTAGAAGGACAGGCGACCAGTGACTGAGCCCAGCAGGTAAGATGACACTCCAGATAGCAATGAGGTAAAGAGCCTGTGGTTTATGCCTGTCACTGTGGAAAAGTAAGCTCCTCCTGAAATCAGTGCTCTGGAAGCCGGCAGGTTCCCGGGAGGAGGAAGTCACCCCAATAAAATATCAATGATGGTAGGAGAAGCGCCTGAGCTGACTTTCCTCCATCTGTGTTTCCAATTCCAAGGAGGAAGAATTCCAAGATGGGAGGAGGCTGTGTGTTCTCGCCCAGCAGTCTTCTCACATAAGCAAACCCAGGGTCCTTGGCCATCTCCCCAGGTGCACAGGAAACAAGAAAGCCTAGGTGTGTCTGAGCAGCTTGATATGATACAGAGGGCAGAGGCGTGTGGCAGAGCCTGCTTGCCGCCTTCTTCTCACCCTTCATTCCACCTCATCTCATCATCCAGGCTTGCCACAGCAGAACAAGTGGGAACCATTTGGATGCGGATCCTCCCTGGCCTCCCTAACTCTTCCTTCAAGAAGCCCTCTAGATTCCCCTGATACCCTCTAGCTTGGTCTTTGAAGGTCACACAGGGAAGTTCCTGGAAGGTAAGGGTCATTCCCGATTCATCCTTTGTTCTCTGGCTATGAGTAATCGCTGTGGGAGCCCAATAAACATTGGTTGGATCATCCCTGTATGTGACACATAAGCTAAGGGAGCTCTTGCCCGCTGTGTGACTCCCTCATGACAACCCATTTCCTATATGTTCTTGTCACTCATTCTTCCCAGTTAGCCCTCGGCAGTAGCCCGATTGATGTGTTCTTGAAACAGCCAAGCACTGAGTCTGTCCCTCTGCTGGGGCTCAACTGACTTTTCAAGCTGTACGCCGTGCTCACACCACCCTGTGGACCCGAGCTATTTCCTAACCCATGTCCTGTGCTATAGGATGGTTTAGGAAAAGCGCTCCGTGCGGTCATCTGTCATCACTATTCCTGGCGAACTGTCACGGATCTCTTGAGAAGTAAGAAGGCTGGACAGTGAGAAGGGGTTGGGGCGTGAGTAGGTGAAAAGTCCCAGACCCTTAAACCCAGGTCTGGGACTCGGGTGCTGTGCTAAGTACTGCCCGGTGGGGACGGCGATGGGGCCGGAGGCAGGAGGATGGTGGGACCCTGGTTCCTTACACGGTCCTCAGGATGGAGCTGGCAGACCTGAGAAGAAGCACCTCTGGCATGGTCCCTGCGGGGTGGGGACCCCTCGAGCTCACCCAGCAGAGAGGGAGAACCTCAGAGGGTGTGTCACAGCGTCCCCTGAGGAAAGCCACCGCAGCCCCAGAGAGGGCCAACTCGACCAGACAGCCCTGCAACAGAGACACAGCATGAGTCACTGCCCAGGCCTAGCAGGGCGAGAGGCAGTTGCCCTCCTTTGAGGCTGACTCACCACTCCTGGGGACGGGCACCTGACTGCAATTTACTGCCTCCTAAACCCACACGTTCCTTCAATCTGGGAACAACACAAGCTCACAACTGCCTCGAGGCTCCAGGCTCAGTATTCCCTAATGCCAGCTGCTCACCTGCAGGAGCAACTCAGTCAGATGCCCAGGACACCTGTGCTGCAAAGACCTCTGACCATATTCACTAGCTTCTGCCACTTGAAGTGTTCATCTTTCTCTGCTTAGAGGCAAAGGCGAACCTTCCAGAAAGCCTGAGAATCTTCTCAAGAAAGGTGCCACCTCAGTGCCAACCTGCATCCTGAACACCCCAAAGAGAAGAGAATGGTTTCTCCAGACACAGCTTCGGCTCCCCAAAGAAGGCTGGCTCCACACTTTGCCATCCGGGCACCCTGTACACTAGACCTTGGCTTCCTCTCGGTCCATATGGACTGCCTTGTCTCAAAGATGAGGCCTTTCTCCAGTCCTCCTTCCCATCCCACAGACCCCCACAGGAGACTCACAGCAGAGGGCTTGCCTGGCAGGCTCTGCCCCAAGCTCCCCGCTCACCTTACTCTTCCTTGTGGCAGCAGGCTCAGGGCTGCACACCCCTCGCTCCTGCAGCTAAGGCATGGTGAATGTGAGAACCAGCTGCCGCAGTGGCCCAGGTTCCGGGTGATGAGCCACAAGGGCTGGGCATGAATGGGGACCCGCCCCAGCCCGCCTTGGGGCTCCTGGCAAGGTGTGGCCCCAGATACCTCTGACCTACATGGCACGGGCCCCAGCTGCCCACCTCTGTGCTTCTTACATAAGTGGGGCGGAAAGCAGGACAGGGACCTGTCAGTGCAGTACTAGAGGCAGCTTGTTGGCTGCGGTCCCTGACGGAGCCTTGGAGAAATCGCTTCTACTGGGCCATATACCTAGGAACCCACCCTGGGGCCTCTGGGGTTGGACCAGAAGACTGACTTGTTTGTTCAATTTGTTTGGTTTTTTTTTTTTTTTTTTTTTTTGGGGGGGGGGGGGTGGGGAGGGTTCATTTTTATAGTTCCTGAGTACACATACTTTGTTGAATGTTCTGGGCTGGCTTTCTGTATTCTCTGTTCTACCTTGTAATGGCTTAATAGCCCCATTTTCCAGATGAGTGAGTGGAGGCCCAGAGGTTTGCTCCACATTACACAGCCAGTGAGAGGTGAAGCTGACGTGTTTAAGCTGGCTTTCCACAGCTGGATCTGATGCCAGGGTGCCAGGACACAGGTTTATCTGGTGCATGTGCCACCAACTCAACCATTCTGCCCAGACTACCTCAGAAAGCCCTCATCCATGGACCCTGCCCTTAGCT